CAACCTGGCATCCGAGCAACAGTTAAACTGATAAGTGACCGATATGTATGGCCGAATATGAATCGGGAGATTAAACAGTGGGCCAGATCATGTTTAGCCTGCCAAAAGTCAAAAGTACAGCGACATACAGTTTCGCCTAATGGCCAGTTTCCAGAACCTGATGGTAGGTTCCAACACATACATATTGACATCGTTGGACCGTTACCACCATCTAATGGCTTTACGTACATTTTAACGTGTATTGACAGATTTACGAGATGGCCAGTAGCTTGTCCCTTACCTGATATCTCTGCTGAAACCGTTGCAAAGAGCATCGTACAAAATTGGATTTCCAACTTCGGAGTGCCAACCATTATTACTACAGACAGAGGTGCCCAATTCGAAAGCCATTTATTCCAACAACTCACAGAACTACTGGGAATCAAACGTATACGTACTACTGCATATCATCCCAGTTCAAACGGCTTAGTGGACAGATTTCATCGTCAACTGAAAGCATCATTGATGGCAGTGAAGGACGATGATAAGTGGAGCGACAAATTACCTCTCGTACTTCTTGGAATACGTTCGACAATAAAACAAGATATCAAATGTTGTCCAGCAGAATTAGTTTATGGAACTACTTTACGACTACCTGGAGAATATTTCAACCCAGCCACTGAAGTTCCAGCTGACGAAACTACTTTTGTACAACAACTGAGACAACATATGAGCCTTTTAAGATATCACCCACCGCGACATCAGCTCAACCAAGCATACATGCCTGAAAAACTAGAAAATTGCACGCATGTTTTCATACGACACGACGGTGTAAGGAAACCACTTCAACCACCTTATGACGGACCATTCAAAGTAATAAGCAGAACAAGCAAAATCATCACTGTCGAACGCGGAGGAAAACACGAGATTGTAAGCATCGATCGCGTCAAACCAGCTTTCATAGAAATAGAGGTGACTGAGTGTTTACCCAAATCAACATCATCTCAAGATTCAAAATCTGGTGATATTCCGTCTAACAAAACAGAAAGAATCACAAGATCAGGCAGACGAGTACATTGGCCACAAAGATTTGTACAGACAATTTATTTCTAATTCATTTCCATACTACCTCATTACGGTACTATTAACTGTATGTTAGGATATAAATCTATTCTGTAACTCTTTACAATAACAACCCCATTATTATTCTAATAATTTTTCTGGTTTTATTGTTACATTTTGCACAACTTTCTAAATATTTCGGTTCGTTTCGAAGTTGTTAACATTTTTGCATATATACAGTTATAGTATCAAACCTCAAAAACTTAAAAGCCTCAATTCGGTTTTCATATTTTTTTTTGTTCTTGTAATTTACAATATCATTCCGAATACAGGTAAACTTCATTTACCTGCATTCTACGGAGGGGCTATTGTAGTGACCCGTTTTATTACTCATCATTGCAGTATACTTTCATTGTGTAATTGTACTTCGATTTGTTTATTACTCTAAATCTTGCATGTTAACAATTGATACTATTGTGCTCGCTCGATTTTTGAATTTTGATTACTGCAATAATACACTGTCGTATTCCTTCGCAAGTGCCTTTTGAATTACGTTGTGGATGTCGAGTAATCGCAACGTTAGGACACAAATATAAACGCGAGGAAATACTAGAAGATACGTGTATTCTAATTCAGTCAAAATATAGCAGCAACACTATCTCCCGTGTTGATTGGTATAACAAGGTGAGCAATATTGAGGTTAGGCGTCGAGTGCTAGGTAAGCAGGCGAAATCAATCGACGAGGTTGTGAAGTTACACAGATTGAGATAGTTAGGACATGTGTTACGCGTGCATGCCTAGCCATCACCCTCCTCAACAGGCAGTGTTAGCTGACAGAAGATCAGATTGAAAAAGAGCCAGTGGTGGTCAAACGAAAAAATAGCTTCATCAGTCAATCGAATCCATAACAGTTAGTTTACGCCAGCCAGTCACGTAGGGAGGTGGAGACTGACTGACTGGTTGGAGTCCTCGGGATGGTGAGAACCAATGAAGGCTGGAGACAATTTGTGAAATGGCTCAAAATCGTTCTCAATGACTGGCGCAGATACATCCACTCCTTGTGATTTATAATATCCAATAAAACCATATTGTTCCTATATTATACTATTTTTTTACCTCACATCTCTGTATTGAATCTACTTTTACTCTCTTCTCTTGCTTTGTGTGCTACGTGAAGTGTGGCAGGTCGAACTGCTGCACATCTGTGCAAAGTTCTACGTTGAAAGCAGTCAGTCAGTTACGGATTGGTGGTGTTTTTGACATGAACATCATTAATATACCTCAAGCTTTGTCGTGGTTTCGCTAACATTCCTTATAGAAGAAGAGGACGTCTCCGTAATATGCAAATCGGATATCCACAAAAATTCACAATCTCTCATCGACTAGCATACTCTCTCCTCCACTCCACCCCACCTCCCTCCACACACACACACACACACACATCGAACATACTACGCCTAACCTCATCATTGCTTACCACATTACTCTATCAAATGATGAAAACAACTTAGCGAAGTCATCTATGCTCAAATATTCATAACACCTTTCAGTCTCTTACTTTCAAAATCCATGTCTTATAGTTGCACTGTAGGACTGAGTTGACTCTTACACAGTAGACGTGTACGTACTTTATTGTATAGCCAGATATCTTACCAGTCCTGAAATAGTAGATGGACACAATCGCCCTGACGAGAAAACAGTAAAGTTCATCACTAAACAAGTCTCGTTCACACAAATTTAATGAAGAAGTAGCAAATTCGACGGGTCCCCAATCTTTGCTATCTTAATATCCTGATACATTCAAAGGTATAATCGACTTGTTTGTTTCAGACCAGGAGTTAGGAAAGTAGAAACATAATTCGACGATAACCACTTACATTTACATGTAGGTAGATATGTATGGAGTTGAATGACACTGCCTGGCTACTCAAAGCTCGGCATGTGGAACTGGATTCAAACCAAAGACCCAGTGGTGGTTGGAAGTTGAAAGCTTAGATAACTGATCCAAAGGCCAGGTATTTCGAGTATTTGAGAGTTTATGGTATCAAACGCTTTCCCATATCTAAAATACTTAGAGTGAGGCTTCAACTCATAACTGATTAGAAAAGACAAAAAAGTAGGCCGTACAGTTCAACGTGTTTCTCGTCGGATGTCTGAACATCATCCTACATGGCTATGTAAAGGACAAAACCTTCTTAAGAGTTCGTCTACTACATATTGCTGAGGATGTTGGGATCTACATTAAGAAACCTAATTTATGGCATCCAAAAGAAGTTAGTTCAGACACTGCCCTTACATTGGCCATCAAAATTTCAATGATCCTCATTTTGTTGTAGAAATTTTCTTAATTCTATTTGTCACTACATTTCTATGCCCATGAAAACGATGAAAACGAACACAGAGACTGCCGCAGATGTCCTCACACCGTTATTGCAAACGGTTTGGGAAGAAGATAAGGTACCTACCGATTGGAGGAAAGGCTGGCCACCTTGTCAAGCTCCCCAAGAAAGAGCGATTCAGGCCTCACTCTGCAAGAACTGGCATCGAATAATGCATTTGATCACGCCAAGTAAAATACTGAGTTGCATTATCCTGGAGAGAATATAAAAGATACACTGGATGCAGATCTCCGCCACCCACCGGAACAAGCTGTCTGGATTCAGGAAAGGCAAATCATGTGCTGATCAAACTGCAACTCCACGCATCGTCATCACAGAACAAAGCATAGAATGGCAGTCAAACCTCATTCCACCTCAAATTCATTGACTTCAAAAAGGCCTTCGACAGACAGTGTTTACCATGAGGTGGTTTGGAAACTACTTCAACACTGCGACGTACCTCAAGTCTTTATCAACCTCATTCAACAGCTGGCTATATATGACAGTGACACTTCTCAGGTGATCCGCAACAGAAAGCTCAGCGGGGCGTTCGAAGTGAATACGGGAGTAAGACAAGCTGGTTGCCTGCCTCTTATCACCGATGATATTCTTAATTGTGGTGGACTGGATTTAGTGTCAGACTGTGCGTGGGAGAGAGTAGACGAGAATACGCTGTATCACCGATAAGAAGACTCTAGAAGATATAGATTTCGCGCATGGATTATTTAGGTAAAATGCCACACAAATTCGAAGAATTGCAGGTGGGGTGAGCAGCAAAGCAGGACTGCAGGTGGACACAAAGAAGACGGAGGTGATGAAGATAACCAATCAACAGCAACGACAACAGCAGCCAGCACCAATCGCCGTCAACTGGAGAGATTTAACAGAGGTTACATCTTTCACTTATCTAGGAAGCATAGTTTCAACCACAGCCAGTGGAACGGATGATGTCAAAGCCAGACAGTCAGAATCCGAAAGGCAAGATACGCCTTCATCAACTTGAAACCAGTTTGGAAATCTTCTGCCCTCAGCCTCAGCATAAAGAACACGATCCGCATTTTCAACACTAATGTGAAGTCGGTCAGTGCTTCTATACGGGTAAGGAAAAGGAATTCCAACAGTCTGTTCCAGACTTCCATCAACAGCTGCCTTCGCTCCAAACTGAACATCAAATGGCTAACCAGAAAGAATAAGCAAGAAGAAACTCTGTCTAGCTGGGAACAAACCAACCAGAAGCCGATCACTCAACAAATATGTAGGAGACAGTGGAGATGGATTGATCGGGCATATATGGAGGAGGCCGCCGAATGACATCTCACGCCAGGCGATTGCTCGAGTCGAATCCAAATGGGAAGCGATGAGTAGGTCGTCTTAGGGTAATACAGAGGAAATGGTGTGAGGAAGAGATGTGAGATTATGGGCAATCGTGGACCCAGCTGAAGAGAATGGCGGAAAATAGGAGAAAATGGAGATGTGTTGTTGAAGCCCTGTGAATATATATATATATATATACATATATATATACCACTATTAAAGTCGAACTTTTCAGAATGAAAAGGTACAGAAAATAAACCGAAGAGGATACGAAATACTATTATATTTGCAACCAGCATCAGTGAAGCAGATTTATCCTGAGATCCCCATTACAGTACTACTATCAAATTAATAAACACCACTATCCATTTTGGTTCACACACACACACACACACCGCCACAATACACATTATAAACACTAAAGAAAGTTAGTGGATTAAATTCTCCAACGAACTAGTGATTATTGTTAAATGTTCAACGAAAAAATCGAATGTGGTACACGATAAACAACAGTATTTATTTTAAAATAAATTAGCACCACAAAATCTGTCAGAAGAAATAATCAATTTCTGTAACATTTTACTATTTCATTGATCAGTTTTATAGTAAACATTATTAATAATTTATATTTGAAAACAATTAGGAAACTAATCCCGGCGGTTGTAGTATCTCCTAGTCACTGCAACAGTCAGAGTCAGAGTCACTAAGCTTTAAATCGTGCTCAATCAATTTACGATGAGCTGACAAATTCGGATTAACCACCGCTTTAGCATCAGATTTTGTATTTGAAGAGGGTGGCTTAGTTTTCGCTGATTTCTTTCTTTCACTTGATAAACTGCTCAGAGTAGAACTTGACTCACTCTCCGAAACACTGTCATCATCATCATCACTATCCGATGACTCCGCGTCCATATCACTGCTGCTACTGGAAGCACTACTACTACTACTACTGCTACTCAGAGTTCTTGAGTGTGTTTTCTTCTCCAATGACTGTTGTGCTGTAGTATTTGAAGTAACAGACATCATCTCAGGATCATTGGGTGGTTTTCTTTTAGGCGGAGTAGGTCGGATAGATTTCAAGTTAGTTTCTTGACCTGAACGGTCAGGCAACGGGAGCAACTGTGAACCTTCCGAGTTAGGAAGACAGGCTGTATCAGGCTTTCGTCCTTCGCGAGTTTTCTTCAACTGCACGGTATGTGCAATTCGCTCTAAAGTCAACTCATGGGTCTGGAATTAAAAAATATAAATATAGCAAAATTAAAGATATTCCTTTCACACGTACAGAATTACAGTGGAAAACAACGATTATAAAGGTTAATGTCAGTCATTCATACTGGACGTGAGTATAGTTACCCCAGTTTTCGCAATGTCGACTACCTAAACAACGTTTGGATAAAACACTTCTCGTATAGAATTGAACAGTATTTTGTGATTTCATACGATGGCGTTACGCTTACAAGTAAAAAATCCGGAATTCTCATTTACTTTATTCCCTGGTTGGGTACCAGAGTTTGATGATTTTATTTCAAAATCAGCTACTAGATTTCTATGATAATAATAATAATAATCTTTATTCCAGTTTCATTAAGTTTATTACTTGTTCAGTGCATAAGCAACAGAAGATACATTTAGTAACAAGGCTGGTTGGAGAAACTTTCTCATTTAGAATAAGTGAAACGCAGAATTCATTATGGCTGATTACTACCACAAAACGTATGACTGACTGAAAGTCGCAGGTTTCAACATAGAACTGCTATGGTGTCGTCGCCTATATTATGGTGTGATCGAGTGTAAATATGCGCTAATCAGATATACCGGACGATAACGTACAGACTGGGACTGCTGACTAGCTGATTTGTCCTGACACAGAGAGGAAAATCAGAAAACATCCACGTTCACGAAGACACATGTATTTTCCAACAAAGAAAACTAACTGTCACACAAGAATGTGAGTGGAAAAGTACCAAAGTACGAAAGTGTGAATTAACTGTACAATACAAGAGTGTATAGAAAATAACTAACACACATGATCCAATAGGACAGATAGCAGTTTTCCTTACCACCACTGGAGTCTGATTGGTTGCAATGTCATGTGACAAAGGTCATACAGTGTTTATTTAGTAATTAATGGACAGACAAGATACATTGTGAGTTATGATGGAATAAACGATCAATATACATATAGCGAAATATATCAAACTGGCAAACAAAGCAGACATCATGTGACTTCATATCAAGAACTACACTCAGTAGTAAAATGCAGAGATCCAAGTTGCCATAATGTTGTCATAATACACTCAGAAATAGAAAGAAAAGAAAAAGGCTTGAAGGAATTGTACTGGGTGAAAATATACGAGAGGAACAATAACCACATAGAGAATGGAAAAGTGATGAATCAAGGAATTCTTTTAAGGGTGAACGCGTCTGCACCGTTGTTGACAAAGAATTCCGGGTCACGTCACCAACAGACTGCAAATATCGATTATTAGCATCTCTAGATGATCACAATCAAGTTGAAACGAACAAAGACTTCATCGATTAATGCTAGTTAGTTTCTGAACGTTTTAACTTCCCTCATATCCTTGAGTTGAAAGTGGAATATACAACTTCAAACTTTCAAATTTTCAGTAGCAGTGAGGTTGTCTCGCTTCTATCGGCTTGTACACACTAAGTGAGAGCTTTAAGATTGTATCAGCCGACAGTTGAACACTGACCTTGTGTGTGGTTGGAGAGCCAGCCATTTTTCAACTGATGCCTTTCTTACTCAATATTCTAAGCCTAATTATCATTATTACTCTTAGTCCCTTGGGTCCCGAGTGGAACATGAGGCTTCAACAACAGCAACTACTCTACGCCCAATCTCCATCACCACATTTTACCACTTAACAGAAGAGATGGAACGCAAACACGTGTAGTAAGAGACGGATAGTCTCCTCTTAAACTTTCAACGGTCAGATCCCACAGCCATAAATGGTAGATCGAACTGATGAGCAGTACACACGTCCTTTGACCGACAGCCGGATATCACGTCAAAGGCACAGATAACGTAAGTGAAAGACTAGGCATTTTGTCAATGTCTTCACCTGGAAAGACTACAACTCTCCGCATACTCTAAGTTGACGAAAACACTCTATCCAGGTAACCAGTCAATCTCAAAGTCGCTGAAGTCGCTCACACAAGTTGTGAGAGTAGTGACTTGATATGATTATGAGTAGCAATAATTTGTGCGCGAAACGTGATCGTCAGTAAATATTACTGTACAACACTGTGTGATTTATCAAAATAAAGTCTTATCCATAATGGAGTTATACTCTACCACAGTGCTTATATCAAAAATGGTCATCCTTAAGAGACACAACTAGCTATCATTATTTCAGAGGAAAAATTCTCATAAGCTCTTACGTGGCTGCACGAGTTTGAGTAGAGTGCCTTGATCAGTATGATATAGTCAATCCGTTTACGGTTAGGCATCATCACATACGCCATCTGGTCAAAATAATGGCAAGTCTTGCACACCGATAAGTATCCCTACGTTTGTACATCTGTCGAGGGATGAAAATATGATCAATACGCCCTCGTCCCTGTTTGAAGCCTGACTGACTGATTTTCCCGGTTTTAATTCTCCCGAGCACTGCTGCTTAGTCTACAGAGTATTACTTACATCAGAATTTCACGTACTATTTTAGTAAAGCTGATTTCCGCATAACTTGTCTTTCTTTTTTCACAACTGGGATAATTAGAGATTTACACTAGCAGGGATGAAGCTGCATAGCATCAGAGTGGGCACATGCACACGACATACAACCACACATACCAAAGAATAGTAGTATTCTGTCAGGTTTGCCAGAACGGGACAAGAGTTGTGTGTAAGTAATTCATGTCCAAACTAGCTGTCTATACATGTTATTCAACGCTCTAAAGAGTATTAGAACAGCATAAAGTTTACAGTGGTATGAATATCTTAAGGCAAACCAATATGTGAAAGAAAAATTGCAGAAAGTCCAAAGAGCTGCTTATACTCCAAAGACGTAAAATTTTACGTCAAGGTTGAATCAGATCCACAGAGGTTTCCAAAAGCTTGATAAGAATTCCTAACTTAGGTATACGGAGTAATTAGAATGAAAGACTTATTAGATATCTAGCAGTTATAAACCATACTTGCACATCTGTGGATTGAATAGAAGTGTAAACCGATGAAACCGTGAATTAACACAAAAAAGACCAGAGAAGTGACTTCATCAAGTCGCCTATTATATGCTTCCTTATGTAATTCGAAATTTAAGAAGGTACCACCAGATTTACGGAACTTAACGCATCTCATATATAGTTGGTGGATGGTGACTAGCAGTGGAATCCAGGATGCGCATTTCGTCCTATTTTGGACTTGTCATCTGGATTTACCTGCATTTCTGTTGAAATTTTTAAACATTAATTTATTCACTGAGGATGAGCAGAGAGAGTCACCACATGCATAGTAATTATACGTTCCAAAAGACTGTTTCCATCTGAGCATAAAGGGTTGTAACGCAGCTTTCGTGAACACGATGATATTTTGTGTGGTATAGCACTTTGCTTCGCATAATGTACCAAGTTTGCATTTCATTAATTGATAAATGTTCCATGTAAACAGAAGCTACGCAAAAACAGTAGACTTACCTTTTTATTATATATCAAAATACATTCTTTCTGAACAGAACGAGCAGTCCCACGAAATGTAGTTGTTGCGTCCAAGTTGGTGCTTGTTACATTAGGCATGTCAACAACAACCTCGTTACCTTCATTTACCCTGATTAAGCCAGGTTGTGACCGGTCTACTGAGGCAGGCATAAAATCACAACGCATTGTCATATATGATGTTGGATCTCGATCAAGAAAACTCTTTCCAAGTTTAACATCAAATGTCCCACTGAGTTGCATTTTAATGACCACTATAACAAAAACAACGAACTTTTAATAATACAGCCGAATTATGAAAGAATGTAAGTTGAACATTTGACAAACATCACGAAAACACTGAAAAGAATGATAAAAGTGATTAGTGTGCACAATTGGGATAACAGATAGGCAGATCCATATTTATCAGTACAACCCATACTTACTTCATTCGCCTTCTTGAAAGATCTTACCACCAGCCTAATTATTTATTGTTGACGCAAAACTCAGTCATTTGTACGACTTACGCGACAACTTAACAGTAGATTAATCATACAGATTCACTTTCTATTACAAAATGGAATGTCACCACTTCACTTAGAATAAAGTGATCCTATGAAGAATAGCAACATTTAAAAATAATAAATGGATAGGACCAAACAATAAGGGGGAACTAAAGAGTTTAAGAATAATCACTGATGATCCATGGGAGTTGGAATAGAATAAACAGTACTTCTGTAAGACAAATCTGATAAAACGTCAGACTTTTAATCAAACAGAAAAGTTACGGCTCTTGGGTGCAATTTCTCTAAGCTTCAGGATATATTTTCTTATTCCTTTACGTCTTTAGTGGAATATACGGCTTCAATATTTAGCTTTGAAGTTTCAGTAACAGTGGCGTTTCTTAGGGGTGAGGGGGATTGCTAGCCTGACAGTCAACCTCCCCTCTTTGTTGGGATGATGACCGGCTTGGGGAGGTAAAGGTGTGCGCCGATCGGGACTCGAACCATGTGCATGTTCAGCCAGCACACTACCGCTGAACCACACACGGTCAGCTTCAGTATAATATACCCTTATCTGCTGTGGGAGAATACTATGTCATAATCCAGCTGTTCCAGCAAACCTACGTTCGAAGAAATCCATTACTGAAGAGAAATACAGAAATGGAGTTGTTTTCACAACGATAAGGACATGGTCTTCAATAGGCACACTTTCAAAGGTGCTCTCTGCTCTGGGTCTGGAGTTAACATCAACCCTGAACTATGACGACGGTAAGTAAAGCTTATCATGATAGCAAACTTCAACTTGATGTTGAGTGAATTACGTAAACGTGAAATAAAATGACAAGCAAAGTCAAAGAAGCCTGTAATTAAAAGCTAATAAAATGCAGTGGAGTTTGTAAGTATGTCCTAACTGACCGCTGTAAGTATAGCTGTTCTAAATGGTCATAACTACGATGATTAATGATACTACTTTCAACATGTGTAAGCTTTTCTTTAATTTCAAAAGGGGTGCAATCTGAAGTGGAAAGGTAATTGAGACAGATCCTCTACGAAAAGGAATTTTCTTGGCAACTCTCAATTTGTAAAATACCAAAATTAACTCTAGTAACTTAGAATAATCAAAAGGAAGACTAAACAGACAAACGTCTCCACTTTTATCCTCTCGATTACATGACTCCATATTGAAAGCGGTTAATGAAGTGGTTCTGTAACTTCTATTAAAATTTGAGCTGCCTTGATTCTGAAATAACAAGACGGGTTGCTAAATTTACTTTTAGACTATGGTAGTGAAGAATTAATATTCAGTATAAGTGAAGTATAACGTCGTTTATTGTAATGAGAATTAATATTACAAAACTGATTAGTATCAGAGATCAATTCGGTTTATAAGGTAGGGATACATTGTGGCTGGCTGAGTCCCAACAAAGAACTTCGCAGTACTTCAAGCTGTTGCACTCCATATTGTATGTTTATTCGAGTGTGACAGCCTACGGAGAGTTATCACTCGAAGTGGTGAAAACCAGCAGTGTCCGTAAGGGATGTCCACTGTCCCCATTTCTGTTGAATTTCATCATAGATTTACCAACAGACTTAAAACCCTAACTGACTTGAGTGATTCAGAGATTGACTTGTTACCAGGGAATAATCTCGTCGATTTAGAATAACCAAATGATGTAGTCCTTCTAGGTGAAAACGCTGACAAAATGCAGAGTCCTCTGAGCACCTTCGGGAGCGGCGATTTCGGGATATTTGACATGCGATTCCCTCCCATCAAATGTAAGATGATGCTACAGGACTGGACTAAATCGACTGGCTCCTAGCTTACAGATAGGCAGAAATGAAAAGATAGAGAGTATTGTCCAATTCACTTATTTGGGAAGTTGCATCGGCGTCAGTCGGCTGATGGCCGACGAAATCTCAGCACGGATATAGACGGCTCGTTTGGCACATACCAACTTACGCCATCTCTGGCTTGGCAGACGGTATATACGGTTGGCTATCGACCAAAGGGCGTACGTACTGCTTAGCAGTTCACTCCATCCTCCTTCATGGCTTTGAGACCTGGTTATTGAAAGTGGAGGATATGAAAACGCTAGGTGTCTTTGGTGATACGTGCCTGCGTTTTATCTCCCGTGTTAAGTGGTATAATAGGATGAACAAAATTGAGGTTAGGCATCGACTGCTTGGTAAGCAGAGGAAATTAGTAAACGAGGTTATGAAATTACACATATGAGATGGTTGGGACATGTGCACACCTAGCCATCGCCTTCCTCCACAGCCATTCTTAGTTAACTGTCAGAGGATTCATCAGCTTGCAAAAGAGCCAGTGGTGGTCAAACGAAAACATGGCTTCATCAGTCAACAGTTAGTTTAAGCCAGCCAGTCACGTAGGGAGGTGGAGACTGACTGACTGGTTGGAGTCCTCGGGATGGTGAGAACCAATGAAGGCTGGAGACAATTTGTGAAATGGCTCAAAATCGTTCTCAATGACTGGCGCAGATACATCCACTCCTTGTGATTTATAATATCCAATAAAACCATATTGTTCTTTCATTATACTATTTTTTGCCTCACATCTCTGTATTGAATCTACTTTTACTCTCTTCTCTTGCTTTGTGTGCTACGTGAAGTGTGGCAGGTCGAACTGCTGCACATCTGTGCAAAGTTCTACGTTGAAAGCAGTCAGTCAGTCAGTCATAGCACACACAGGTAGAGGAAAGAAATTCAAAAGAACTATGCATAATTACATAGAAGAAAATTAGGCCTTAGTGGATCTGGAGGGTTCCAATTACTGGATGCACCTGCACCACTGAATACGGCTTTGAGGCATTACGACAACCGTCTTAATCTAATGGTTTTCAGCGTCAGGACCTCAACCACGAGGTCTTCATTGCCCTACGTAGCGGAAAGTAAGTGTCAAATTGTACATGGATTGATTCCAGGTTTCAGGTTGAACACCCTCATCCTAATCAATTTCCAGCTAGCCGATGAAAGACGCAGTTCAGCCAGCGGGATACGTGTCCTGACACTCTCACCCTGTTTGAACTGGTTTTTGAAGTTATGCTTATAAGCTCTTACTGTTAGCTAAAGAAAGCCACCAGTCGGGAGGTACACTTTATGGAGTGTGCTTTTGTTGACCCAATCTCTCTAGACAGTAGTGACAACATAACTGGTTTAAAAGTCATCTGAGGGAAACACGTTACTGCTGTTATATCCTCATTCACCAGTAGTACGACCTTGCCCACAGACCCCCAACATAGTGTTAACAAATTACGCCAAGATGGTTACTCAACTCAGATTTCCGCACAATCCAAATGTCATTTTGACATGACAGGACTATGTTAAAAACAAAGAAGTTACTGAACGACAAAATAAGTGGTGTCAGTCACAGATCGGCTATCTCGCTCAAGAACCAATTGTATTCACAAGCAGCTGTCCTTACGTAAGCACTGTAAGAGATGATCAGATCATCCGCTTGTCCAGACGTCGGTTTTCGAAGCGTTGTTCCGACAAATAACCCACTGGTTGGTGACCTGACTGAGGAGCGTTCTCCGTGATTCAGATGCATTCACTTTTAGTGAGCTGACAAATCCACTAAATTCTTACTACTCTTCACATAATAATTTTTGTTCCCATACACGCGTTTATTTTCTCGCTACCCTTGTGGGCTTTTATGAACAGCTGAACTTATTCGCAGTCCTACGTTGAAAAGTCCGTTCATATAAATGCCTAATACAATGAACAACCATTTCATAACCAAAAACCACCAATTACCTTGAGCTCAAAGTAACTTATACCTTGGCTTCATTTCGTATGCCACAAAAATCTGTAAGAACTTAACTCACTCACTCACGTACGTAAAGCAGTATTCATAGTACTACTTTTCGAAGTCAAAATATTAAAATTAGCTGGTTTGTATTGAGTTAGAAAAAGAACAGAACCCAACATACTGAGTAATTAGAACGGGTTAGACATTTTAGGGGAACTAAAACATGATTCCCACTAGGACTGCTCAAAACAACAGTTATACTTTAAAGACATAAGCTATGGAAACAAATATGTGTGCAAGGTAATGCGATGATCAGTACTAGGATTTCAACTGCTGCTTCTTGAGATCGGGTTGTTACATAGGCAACTAAATTTGGCCGGAATCTAGTATTTAATTGCTGCTTAGATAACAGGCTCATTAAAAAGGAGAACAGATTCACATTATAAGGATAGTAGGCTCTCGTTGCTTATGTTAAGCCTTGAGATATATATATCTCTGCAGAGATCTAGTTTGTTTTTGAAAGAGTCCAGTCCAGACTGTTACTACCACCTTGAACATGATCCGTCCACTCTAGACTTAGTGCTAACACACCAGAAGGAAGATGTCGGTGACACTAGGTGCCTGGCGCTGCTAGGCAGTAGTGACTATATAGTTATCGCTTTTATGTTTATGATCCACGCTGTCATACATAGGTCAACAACTGCTCGCCCAAACGTTTGGAAAGCGAATATACCTGCAGTCCGAAATGCAGCAACCCCAGCTGACTGGTCTGTTAATACACACCAGACTGTCGAGGAGGCTTGGATGGGATCTAGGAATACACTAGATTGCGTCACTGCACACTTCGTACCTTGGTCTACGCCTTGAAAACTATCGCATAAACCACCTTGGATTAGTAATGAAATAAGGTTATTAAGAAAAAGAAAGAACTTTTGGGACAGGTTTGCTATGACTGGGAGGGATGAGTTTCGGATGGAATACCGCAGAATTCGAAACCTTTTTAAGTCGAAGATCGACAAAAGTCGTATAGAGTATGAAAGACATTTAGTACTGGATTGTGCGCATTATCCAAAAAGACTGTACTCGTATATCAAACGCAGGACTGAAACTAGCAATACTGGAGAGGTGGCCGAGTCAGACGAAACAAAAGCTGAGAATCTCTCCAAATACTTTTGCGATGTTTTCTCGCCTAATCATACCACTCAGGGGTGTAGCGAGGTCACTGATGTAGCCACTAAAATGCCCACAATTGTGGTAGAGGACGCAGTGGTTCTGAAACTACTGTCTAATTTGAAGCCAGGTAAATCACCTGGACCAGACGGACTTCACCCTAGATTGCTAATCTCCCTGGCGGATATAATATACATTCCACTTATGGAGATTTTTCAGATGTCTCTGACCCAGGCTAGGCTACCATCTTCAAAGATGGGAACAGGCAGTTAGTATCTAACTACCAACCTGTAAGTCTCACTTGCATTATAGCAAAGGTGTTAGGAAAACTCATAAGAGATCAGCTCTTGGCTCATATGTAAAAACATGGCTTACTGGCAGTGGAACAGCATGGATTCCAACCAGGACGATCCTGCTTGACAAACTTACTGTTAGCTAGAGAAGATTGAGTCGAGGCCAGGGATAAGAACCATCTACTGGACGTTGTCTTTATCGATAAGGTATCCCATTTAGGTTTTCTTAGTAAACTTAAACATTTTGGATTAGACCAACGCTTATATGAGTGGTTTAGCGACTACCTGATGGATAGAAGGCAGAAGGTAAGGGTTAATGGTGTACTCTCAGAGTGGAAAGCAGTACTGTACTTGGCCCCCTGCTATTTCTATTATACGTAAATAAAGTGCCGAAAATCCTTACCTCATCTTCCTTACTATTTGCGGACGATATTAAGATATGGAAGACCGTAAATAGTAACGATGATAGGTTGGTACTACAAAACGATCTAAATTAGCCGAATAAGCTAACCTTTGGAGTTTGGAAATTAATTCCAAGAAAAGCACGCTAATGCACCTAGGTCAGAAGTTTTACACATCGTACTCCCTGAGGGACACAGAACTGCCAGGTGTTAGGGAACAAAAGGACTTAGGAATTATTGTTAGCCATGACTTAAAAACAACGGCAAATTGTAATCGAGCCGCAGCTAAAGCTTTTTGAATGCTATGGGTACTTCGAAGGGCTTTCAAACGATTAGACGAGGGCATGTTCCAACTACTCTATGCAACATATGTCAGACCTCATCTAGAGTACTGCACACAAGCGGCGAGTTCATGCTTCAAAAAGGAGGCACATATCCTGGAAAGAGAACAGAGGGTAAGGACCAAACTAGTTAGTGGTATGTCACACCTTCCTTATAATATGAGGATGGAGCATTTAAATCTCTTCCCATTATCATACCGAAGGAGGAGAGGCGACTTAATTTTGGCTTACCGTATATTCAAGGGTGATTTAGGGATTGGCCTTTCAAACCTTTTCTCTCCCTCTAGGATACATTTACGAGGTCACCAAAAGAAAGTGCTCAAACCGAGGTCGAATAAAATACGCGTGGAGTTTAGATTCTCTCACAGAGTGGTCAACGACTGGAACTCCTTACCTGATTCAGTAGTAACAGCTCCATCGGTGAACGCTTTCAAAGAGAAACTGGATCTCTGCAGAGATATATATCGCGAGGATTAACATAGGCAACAAGAGCCTTCTATCCTTATAATCTGAATCTGAATCAGGTAAGACCCAGTCGATGGCCACTGTGAGAGAATCTAAATCCGACACGTGGAGCCAGCTGTCATCCGTAGACTATACCAATAACGTGGCCAATAATACGGATGATGTCCTTAATCCTGTCGATGGAACCTAAGCAAATTACACTGAAAGTTTCCACAGGGACAACAGAAGACCCGTTGACGTCGTCTTCATAGACTTCAGCAAAGCCTTTGATAAAGTACCTCACAAAAGACTACTCATGAAGTTGGAAAGTCTTGGTACCAAAGGCAGCTTACCAAATTGGCTCAGGGAATTCCTCATAGATAGGAGGCAGAGGGTTAGGATCAACTCAAAACTCTCCTCTTGGACAGCAGTACGCAGCGGAGTGCCACAAGGCACGGTACTTGGACCTCTCCTATTTATTTTGTATATCAATGAGTTATCTCTGCTCACCGATTCCCCTATGGTCCTATACGCAGATGACTTAAAAATTTGGAGAGAGCTGAAGGGCAACAGTGACACGTCCACGTTGCAAGAGGACCTCAACAAATTGTCAGAGTGGTCCATAGAATGGATGCTCCCGATAAACGTGACAAAATGTGCAAACATGCGCACTGGACAAGCAAGCACGAGCTCTTAGGAACTAGAGGGAATTACACTTCCATCAGTTCAGACTTACTTGGACTTAGGTGTCATAGTTAGCCACGACTTAAAAACTACAGCACACTGTCGCGCGGTGGCTGCACGTAGTTTCAGGTCATTATGGGCAATTCGTAGAGCCTTCACTAGAATCACCAGAGATATGTTCACCTCCTTAAATACATCTCTGGTGAGGTCAAGACTGGAAAACTGCATCCAGGCCGCCAGCCCTTGTCTAAAAGGGGACTCACTTATTCTAGAAAGGGTTCAAAGGAAAGCAACACGTATGATTCATGGCATGACTAACTTATCATACGAGGAAAGACTAGAAAGTTTAAATCTCTTCTCCTTGTCATACCGTAGGCAGAGAGGAGATTTAATCACAATGTTTAAAATTTTAAATAATGACTACGGACCTGACCTATTTCCTCTTTTCCTTCCCACCAGGTCGGAACACCTCAGAGGACATAGCAGGAGAGTTCAAAAGCCAAGAAGAAATCATATTGCTGTTGAGTACTGGTTCTCACACCGAGTCATAAACTCTTGGAACCGACTCCCAGAAGAAGTGGTGTGTGCAACCTCAGTTGATTCGTTCAAGAAGGGTTTGGACAACCACAGAAATTTACTAGAAAAGGATTAACATAGGCTCCAAGCCTTCTATCCTCAACCAATAAATCTGAATCTGAAAGTTACCTAAAAAGGAGGGTCGGAACGGTGAATAGTTATTCATGACCTAAGTCATGAAACAGGATGATATACGGTTATCCCGACGAGTTTAAGCACCGAAATTGCTTTAACCTAACTAGGAGAACTCCTATGAGAAATTGAAAGCTTTTTTCAGAGCATATAGAAAGTAGGTACTCTGTGAAACTACTGTTAACGGTACCTATGTGTGAACGTCTTCAAACTACGTACTTCAGCATCGGACGCGTCTGATTGGTCGATAGAGATTTGTCAAGGTCTTTATGGGGTAGTTTAGTTTTGCTCTGCTATAGCTGACAGTTACAGACTTTAGTCCCACAATGAGTAAAAAACTGACTCACATAATCCCGGTCACATGGAAGTCATCATAACCACACTGGGGGCCCTACGACTCAGACAGTAGATAGAGGTACAAACTGCTTATGGAGAGGCTGAGCACTTCAAGGTCACATGCATATTGTGATACTGCGCTTGTCCAAATCTCTCTTGAGAGAATCAGTTGAGGTTGCAGACACCCCTTCATCTGGGAGTAGGTTCAAGGAGTTTATTATCTGGTGTGAGAATCAGTACTCAACAGCATTACAGTTTCTTCTTGACTTCTGAACTCTCCTGCTATATACTCTAAGTTGCTCCGATCTGGTGAGAAGGAAAAGAAAGAATAGGTCAGGTCCGTAGTCATTATTTAAAATTTTAAACATTGTGATTCAATCTCCTCTCTGCCTATGATATAACAGGGAGAAGAGATTTAAACTTTCTAGTCTTTCCTCTTATGATAAATTAGTCGTACTGAGAATTATACGTGTTTCCTTCCATTGAACCTTTTCTAGAATGTGTGAGTCCCCTTTAAGACAATGACTGGCTGTCTGAATACAGTTTTCTAGTCTTGAACTCAGCAGAGATGTATGTGAATAGGTGAACATATCTCTGGTGGCTCTGGGAATCGCCCACAAGAATCTGAAACTACGTGCAGCCACAGAGCGACAATGAGCTACTAATTTTAAGTCATGACTTACTGTAACACCTAAATCCAAATGAGTACGAACTGATGAGAGTGTTATTCCCTCTAGTTCGTAGGAGCTGGTGCCTGCATGTCCAAAGCTCATGGCCACACATTTCGCCACATTGACCGGTAGCATCCATTCTCTGTACCACTCTGACAATTTGTTGCGGTCCTCTTGCAACGCGAGCGTTGCCCTTCGGCTTCAGATTTTTATGCCATCTGTGTGTAGGACCATAGAGGAGTCCGTGAACATAGATAACTCGCTGATATGAAAAATAAATGGGAGAGGTCTGAGTACCATGCCTTGAGGTACTACGCTACTAACTGTTGTCCCGGAGAAGAGTTTCGACTTTACCCTAACCCTCTGCCTCCAATCTATGAGGAATTCCCTAATCCATATTAGAAAGCTGTCTCTGATATCAAGACCTTCCCACTTCATGAGTAGTCTTTTGTAAGGAACTTTATCGAAGGCTTTGTTGAAGTCTATGGAGACGACATCAACGGATTTTCTGATATTCCTTGATCCGTCCGGGTTCCTCTTTCAGTGCGAAGATTTGATAGGCATGAGAGGTTTCGTCTGAAGCCTTGCTATGATCTGGATAACAAATTATTGTTTTCCGGATATGCCACGATACTTTTCCTTATGATTCTTTACAGTATCCTGATTAAATTGCTGCTGAGACTAATAGGCCTGCAGTTTGAAGGGCATTCATTGTCTTGATCCTCCTTTGTGGAAGGGGGTTGCCACTGTGGTGAGAGCTGTCTACTAGCCTAATTGGTAGACAGTAATTTACGCCAGTATTCACGTTCTCAAGATTTGTCGTGAGAAACAACCAATCGGAAGACTGTGTTTGTTTGTTTGTTTGTTTACATATCCATAGTAATGTACATGAAAACATATATAAATATGCGTTGATTTCCTTAATAAATGATCTGTTGCCTGACTCTTGCCTTCTGTCGTTACACCACGGCATCTGTCAAGTCACGCGGTGGCACTCCATTTAGGAGCGAGCTTAAAGATCGCGGTCAATGGAACAGTTATGTAAGCTGATAGCTCCTTAAGAAGCCTTGGCTGGGGATTATCAGGACCCACTGATTTCCCTGCATCTAGTTAGTAGTATTAATAATTCATGATTAAGATAAACGGGTGTTTACAAGAAGTGCATGCCACTTTTACAGGCAAGTATTCTCCCTCACATTTTCTCTCGTTAAACATCCATTTAGTTTTATGTCTCTACCTTTGTGTGGTGCATGGAATGTGGTAAACTAAACAGTTGGACTTCTTTGCGAAGTCATACTGAAAGCCAAGCAGAATGACACAGTCTAGGCATAACTGAATGCGAAACATTGAATAATGATCTCCAGAATGTCAGTATATGATAAGTGTAGTTTTTAATCTGGTTCTCTGCTAACTGAAAAATAGATACGTTTCAGTAATCTCTTCTCCCACCCGGGGCTCGCCTCCTACTTTGCAAGTGTTTTTTGTGCTCTGTTACTTTTGTGCTAAGCTTTCGGTCATTCAGCATATGCCGTTGTTGTTGACTAAGGACCCAAATGACATTAGTTGAGTAAGGTTTCGGTCGTGCAAACACGAGTTCTGCGCAGTTGATTGGTTGCATTATCATTTCTCAAATGGAATGCAACATACTGCATATTAAGGTAAATCTCCCGCCTCGCTTGCTGAAGCTGGTGTTCTTCGAGGTATTTTTATCTCCCCTTTTTTTCTCTCTCGTCTTACATGACTTTCCTCTTTCTAATGAAAGCAACTTCGTCAAATACGCTGCTGATCTGACCGTTTAACTTCCTGTCATGTTACAATTTAACTGCTTCCTGCCGGTAGTATAAGGTACATGGTCTTACGTTACTATTATTATTTCTTTATTGTTCTCTTGGGTTCCTAGTCGAACATAGGGCTTCAACTACACATCTCCACTTGCTTCTGTCTTCTGCTGTAATTTTCACCTGCGTTCATGTTAATCCATACTGTCTCAGCCTCTCTTCACACGATCTCCTCCATGTCACCCTTGGACGTTCCACTCGCCGCTTACTTTTCGGGTTCCACTCGAGGGCCTAACGCGCGATGTCACCAAGTGGCCTCCTCAGTGAGTGTCCAATCCATCTCCACTTTCTCCTGCATATTTGTTGGGCGATTGGTTCTTGTTTTGTTTCTTCCCATAGTTTCTTGTTGGTGATTGTTTCCGGCGGCCATCTGATCTTGAGTATAGAGCGAAGACAGTTGTTGATAAAGGTCTGCAACAGGCTGTTGGAAATATTCTTTGTGACCCGCCAAGTTTCTGATCCATCCGTATAGAAGAACTGACTGACTTGCGTTTGTATTGAAAATCCGAATTTTGTTGTTGATGCAGGCTGAGTGACGAAGATTTCCAGATTGGTTTCAGGTTGATGAATGCCATATCAGCGCCCGGCACGATCGGTTATGTTATAAATTACAATCCTGAAGTATCGTAAATTATTGCTTTTACAAAAGTTTAAATTGCTCTATTATTGTACTGGTAATCAGAGCAGGTTCTTATAAATGTTAAATTGTAATCCCTTTACCAAGCTCACCATCGAAGTTGAGCAACAACCCAAACTTCGTTCCGTCTCTTGCTGATACTTATGGTCAATCAGTGAACAGCGTATATTTGGATAAGTGCTTTGCCACCACGTGATTAAAAGCAACTTCAAGAAGAGAATAACCTCCCGGGTGGGTGCAAAATGGCATTAAATACAATTACGGATAATACATCGTTGAAAGTACATTTACAAGATACATGCGGGAAGGAGCTGGAGACTCCCTGGAATGGTAGCATACATTTGTAATATTTAATGCTCACCATACTGGTCTAAGCATGGAAACTATGGTGTTTTCGATGAAAATATAGCTCTTTTGAAACATTGGTGTTGTTGTGTTTTTTATCAAAGCAACCAGACTCTAAGGAAGCAAGGAGTGTGAATGAAGAGTTTTTGCTTTAATGAAGGCCTAGGTAGTTACGGCACAATATAACTCAACCTTCAGTTGTTACAAACGTTTTCGACAAATTCAAACAATAATGGTGCCTAGCATTATATCATTTACATTGTTTTAACCTATGTAAAGTGTGCTTGTTTTGATTATTCCATTACCTTTCCTTGTGTATATATCTATCCTGTGTCAGTGAAATATTGTAAACGTGCTTACTCTATGTACACATTACTTATCATATTCATAATGCCTGCGAACTGGCATCCCTCATGCACATTAGGTGGGAATATATTAATATATCATATTAAATGAGAAGTTTATCGTGAGGTAGGTAAGTGATATTTCAGCGAGAAGTGAATTCAGAGATCTGGAAGATTAGAACCCGTAGGACAAGCCGACCTGTAAGATATCTCGCGAATTTCTGTAGGACCCATGGGTTAGCATCTTGACAAGAAGCTGAACAGGCTTGTAGACAGTAGGAGCAAAAGCACTTTTTCATTTATAATTAAGATCTGTACAACCCTTATTATTTTTTTTTGAGGGTCTAGGCTAGTGTTTAATTCTGGAGCTGTCAAAAAATGCATTCTGCTATCCCACAGATTGGAGCGATTCACATTTGTGACCACTACCATATCTGCTGATCAGCATGCGCCACCCTCCCTCCGTTTTTTGATGTTACGGTCTGAGATATATCGGCAATGACCGTAGTTCCAGCGTTGCATTGCTTCGAGCCCGTCCCAATCAAACAGTATGCTGTATATTAATAGCTTTCATGACAAGCGCTTCTCTTCAGGTCACCAGATACATCGATACCTGACGACATTCTTAGCAGTGTCACCTTTATACATGAATACATGTTTATAAGTATTTGTTACAGACAGCTAGGAAATTAAGTTTACCTTGAACATTTATAAAGCACAGAAGTATTTAGTATTACAGGAACTAAGTTATAGTCTATTTAGTAGAGTTAAATGGGTAGGGGAACAATTAGTGATAAAATTATTTAGAGTGATCCTGAGGAAAACGGCTAGTTAACAGGATATGTTTTGCTGAATTTTCATGACCGATTTTCATGTGGAATGCGTCAGACATTATAAAGTAACCCTTCAACTTGTGTTATTTTTTAAAAAAGCGATATTTTATAAAATTATACGTTTTAGAAAAGTTTATGAAAAAAGTGCGGTTATTGACTGAGTTAAGTCATTTCGACACAAAAAGTAGAAGTGTTTTATTAATTACATATGTGTAAAATATTAAAAGGCGTGGTTGCTAACATAAGTGTGTCTAGAATTACTTATACTAACACAACTTATTGAAAATTAAGGAGAATAGAAAATCAGTAAATCAGTTAAACGTTCGCTGCGTAGGGAGTAGAGTCGAGTTATACGTAACTGATTACACTGAAGACTGCACTGACTTCCATTTACCATTCTTCCAACAGTTTGAATCTTTTAAACGAGCTAGGGCGGACATGTTAATGCGTCTTTCTAGGCTTTAATTTCAGATGGTAGTTGGTTCCAAAGAGTGCAATATTTAATGGTCAATATAACACCGGTAATATCCCGAATAATGGAGAAAGTGGTTAAAGACCAAGTATCAGACAACTTACTAGAACACGAACTTATCAATCCATCACAACACGGATTTCTCAAAAAGAGATC